TTTTTCATACCGTGTAGTCGTCAACTGTTTAGGCGCGCATTTAAACTATGACCATTTTACAATTAAGCTCTTAGGATAAAAGACGAATATTGACTTAAAATAATTATCAAAAAAAGTATATATTAATACTCAGGAATACTTTTTAACACTCAGCCAGTCTCATTACTAATGTAATCCCGAATGAAAATAGATAACATTGTGATCTAACCTGCATGCTCGGGTGCCGAGCCGGAGCAGCCATGCTGGAAGCGATTTTTAATCCACAAATATTTATGGATTAACTAATCGATCGAAAGCTCGCAATTGTTTGTAGCCTATTTTAAATTGAAAAATAGTATTATTTCGTTTATATTTTTCGTTTAGCAAAGTGAAATTAGTCAAACAGACAAATGTAATATCACGTATTTGGCGAAGCGGGGCCTTCTGCTAAGTATGAAAAATTATCCCGCGCGTTTTTCGCCCCAGTTGAACCAAACCAATCAGAATCGAGCAAGTCACGTGACCCATGCGACTCTTTCACTCTGAGGCTCTTTACCCGCGCCCCTTCACCCCCTGCGCGCAGCGCGCCCCCCAGCGTTCAGCTCTCTGCGCCGCCGAGCTCAAAGTTGTCCTATAGGTTGTCCGTGTCGTCAGCGTGGTGGCGGTCATCGTCAATACGACCCGTCAAACGAACAGAAAATGACGAGAAGCACGTTGTGGTCCCATGGGGACTCGAGTCACGGGGGGGTTTGTTTCGCATGGTTCCGCTGCGTCGCCGCCAGGCGGGCCCTGGGACCTCACGTGACGGTCTGGTACACCCGCACGTAGTCCACCTGCATGGCGGTGTGCTCGGCCTTCCAGGTGGGCAGCCACCAGCCGCGGTGCTCCCAGAACTCGCGCAGCGGGTGTCCCGAGGTCCAGTTCCACGGCCGCGGGAAGGGCGAGTTGACCATGCCGCCGGGGAAGAACGTGCCGCCCACCGCCACGTTCAGGATGATGTAGAACTGAAACGGGGTGAGGGTGAATAAGTCCGAGTTAAAATAGGCCCGCAACAGGGTGAACTAAAAGCAAGAGGTCTTTGATGTCTCATGCCCCCCTACCCCTTCCCCTTCTTTCCCTTATCCTCAGGTCCTTCCATCCGCACCCCACCTTTTTGTCGAAGGGTGCCAACTGGGTTCCGTTGGCCCAAATGTTCGGGCCGCCGGGGTTCGAGTCAAAGCCGCCCAGGTCCCAGAAGCCCCCCTGGGGTGGCGCCATCCTCCCGATCTCCTCGTTGTCGACCGTGAAGCGGAACCCGACCGGCGACCACTCCATGCCGAACACGTGGAAGTCGTCCGCGAAGTCCCCTCGCTCCAGGATCCTGTACACACGGAATCAAACAGAATGAGCGTTACATCTATGGAAAAGGACTATATTTCGGATCCGTCGCGGATCAGATGATGGGTGGCCACTCACTTCTCCCAGTGCGTGAGTCGCCAGATGTTGTACGAGCTGTTGGGTCCGAAGTGCAGCGTCGCGCCGACCTTCTGGACGCCCAGCGGCTCCCCCGTGGAGATCTGCTTGAGGTTGGCGTTGCCGCGCGACTCCACGAGGTCCATCTCGCCCGAGGCGGGCCAGCGGCCGTACGCGTTGGTCGCGGGCTTGAGCCAGATCGCTGCATGGACACATGTGGGGTTACTAACTTCCAACTTCACCTAACACTTATTGCGAAGGTGACTTTGAGAAAGGCTACATGTCAAGAGTACCCCATAGAAATAATGCCATGCACTGCTCATGGACTTCCCCGCGACAACCCCCCCCCCCTATGAAAACAAAGAATATACACTCTACGTAGATAGGACTTGGATGGGACGCATCGATCGCCACTTATCTGCGAATTTTACAGCGCACATCAATCCAAGACGGAAGCAAGTGATTACGGCATTCGGGTAGAACCGTTTTAAAAACAACCTGCTACCTGCTGTGTACAAAAAATAAGTTGCGCGCACCTGGCCATATCCAGTCCCCGCGAGGCAGCTTGGCGCGCACTTCAAGGCGACCGTAACGGAAGCTGAACGCGCTGGTGTGGATGCGCGCCGATTGGATGGGAAGAACGATGTCCGCTCCGGAGGCGCTGGAGAGAGAGAGAGAAAAAATTGGATATATGTATGCCACAAAAAAGTTTGGGGAGTAGCTCGCGCTGCGAGCGCGATGTGGGCCATTGTTTGCTCTTCACACACTCATTATACATCACGCGTGAGAACTATGCCATTTTTCCACATTGCAGCACCATGAAAAACAAACTTCCGATTTAGAAAAAACGTGCTAAATCGAAACGGGTGTATTGTTTGCCACAGCGAAAAAACCAAACGGGGGGAGGTTGGTCAGGGGGGGGGGGGCACTGGACACTTACGACACACACGGTTCGAAGTTGCAGTCTGGGTAGTACATCTTGCCCGTGTAGAGGAAGGCGTCGCCATATTCCCGGGCGGTGAGGGTCGGCCTCAGGTAGAGCACGCCTCCGCGGACGTAACTGCAATCAGAAGTAGACGGGAGTATAGTCATCTCATAATGCGGCATCAGTGGGCTTCACTGGCTTCACTCGCGCGAGCTAATAAAGCCACACACAAAGCAATACAAATCGCTATAAAAATACGCGAGCCCACAGAGAGGGGGGTGAGGGGGGCATTCGGATTAGCTGATGGTGGCGGTCAAAGAGTAACTAGCTTCTCTATGGTGGCGGTGGCGGTCATGTAGTCACGGCGGTGAGGGCCCCAGACACGCCCGCACCATATTTCACCCCGGGAGACTGTGAGATACGCCCGCCCCGCCC